TTACAACCTCAGACTTTACAAGACAGGATTTCTTTTTTCTCTTTTTCTTTTTTAACATTCTCTAATAAGACAGATGAGATCTTTAGGCCTAAGCAGGAAATTTTAAAATATCAGTAATAATAATAACAATAAGCAAAAGTAAGAAAGTTTTGGTTGGCACTCGCACTGCTTGGTGCTATGCCTAGCTGTTGTGACTGGGAGAGATGGGTGCTTGAGTACGGGCTGCCAGGGACATGGCTCTCAAATGCTGCAGAAAAGAGATGCTGGCATTCCCCCCCTTGGGTTGCTTCCAAATTTCTGCACGTTGGGAGACTTCTGCTACAAGATGATTCTGAGTGGAAGGTCCATGATGCTCTTCACAGGAAGGCAACCACCAAGTGGAGCTGCTTGAGCAGGCCCCCAGCTGGAAAGCCCCACAGGCTCACACATGCGGAGCCCTAGACCTCTGCGCTGGATGTGGAGAGTGGTTTGGCAGGGTTTGCAGATGCCAAGCTGTTGAGCAGATTGCAAGGCTGCTATTCATGTGTGATTTTGCTAATTAGAAAGCAATGCAAAGTCAATGAATCCACTCTGTCTGTCAACTCATTTAATGGCCAGCTGCCAAAGAGGATCATCTCCACCGTCCCCAACTTGCTCAAGGTGGGGAAGGAGGAAGTTAACGGTGGGGAGGCAGAAGAAGGGGTTGAAGGGGTATTCAGATGATACAAGCACTCCAAAATAGAGACAGACAGACGCGCACCGACCCCTAATATGCTCAGTCTCATTGGGATTGTCTTTTGGAGCGTGATGCAAAGCTTTGTGGGGGGCAGCAGGTGGACTGGATGGGGCAGTGTTGCAGGGGAATTGTCACAGTGTGTGATAGTCTGATATTATTGCTCATCGTTTGGGCAATCAAGGACAGCCAGACAAATCAGGTGAATTGTCTCTAGGGCTGTAGATCAAGCCTCTCTAATAAAAGGAAGCAATTGCCTGGGGAACAGAAAGCACAGTCATTAGCCTGTTGGCTAATGAATTTGCAAAATGCTGGAACGTGCTTTCCTGTAAGGAGTGGAGAAAACGACCTCCATTTGATGAAGATTATCTTCACCCTGGGCATGTTGTTTGATACGTGTAAGTTCAGCTGTTCTTTAGCTGCTGCCCTCAAAGCTGCCGTTGGGTTGTCTTCCATAGCGAGGTTATGCAGTGCGCAGCTCTTTCCTTGTCAGGTTCTGGCAGGCTGTAATCATTTTATCTCCCACTATTAATGGCACCGAGCAATAAACTTGCATTCTAATTATTGTAATTATTTCTTCGTTTGTACGTCAGCCATGGTAATGATGTTTTTACAGCTGATGGGATGGCAGGGAGGAGAGAAAAGAAATATTGTCACAGTAATGAAGAGACAGCAATGAACGTATTACTTTCCACTCACTTTCCTTAGGGTTTTAGAGCCCACTTGAGCTTCCTCTTCCCTAAGGTCACAGAAATTAACAGCGATTATCCTAATATTGTAAAGAAATAGCAGTCTAGGATTATATTCCTAATGGATCTTAAGTATGTACCTGCCACTTCAGCCCTGGAGATGCCTGAATATCTCCAAAGTCCCCTGCACAGGCACTGCTGCATATTTAGAACTGCCAGTTTCTTGATAGCAGGAGCAACTCACTGTTTTTCTTAACCTCAGGCAAGCTAAAAGTGCAACGCCAGTCATATCCATGGAAATTGCATGTGGAGAGGGCAGAAACTACTCTAATCACCATTTAAAATTCGTACGTGGTCTTTGAAACAGAAGGTGGAATTCAAGCCTCCATCCAATGCATTAGTACCATATAGGCCACAATATTGAATTTCTCAGCTGTTGGTCATGAGTTTATTTCCGTACTACAGCCTAGCTGTTGGAGAATAAGGGTGGCACTGGCACTGAAGGCCAGACTTAGCTACCAGCTATGAAGGGCTGGTGGTTGCTCGGCTCTTGTTCCCAGGGTCATTTACAGTCTAGCTGCAAGCGCCTCTATGCGGGATCCTCCCTCTGCCCATCCCCTTGCTTCCCTCCAGGTCAAACACTCCTTCCAGAGTATTCTCCTTGGGTAAGGGATAGCGTTGGAAACTGGTACAGCCATAAACGTCCCTTCCTGTGTTAGTGTGAGGTGCTGTTGCCTATACCAGCGTGACAGTAAAGTAAAACTTAGCTGGGACCATTAATGGGCGCTGGGGTTTGGTTATCAGCACTAGCAGGGCAGGCCCTGGGCCCATGCGCCAAGCTAACACGTCTTGTAATTACCCCTGATTTGTAATTTTGCAGCCAGATCTTTCCTAAGGATCTTTTCTTGTTTGGGAGTTTCTGTTTGGTTTTCCCCATTGCACAAAGCAATATTGTATTGCCAACTTAATCCTTGTGGATTGATTTTTTTTTTTCAAGTTTTGTCATGAGGGTATTTTTGTAATGACCAATCAGCCTTTCATTAGTGAACCAAGGCAGCAAGGCTGCTCTGTACCGTAGCCCAATCTCTGACACCAGACCCTGCTCCATTGGGCACTTCCCAAACCACGTCCCAGTTAAAATAACCTTCAATGTCACTCAGCTTCGCTATTAAGAAAACAAAGCGAAATACAACCAGCAGCTACCACCCAGGAGTGCCGTTTCCAATTTTTATTATTGGTGCAATTTTTATTTATAAGCAGCACGCAGAGACGCCCTTACACACTGAAGGCTGCATTGAGCTTGCTGCACAGCCACGGGCAGCGAGCAAACTATGTGCCCCGCAGGATGTGGGCTTAGCAGCACGGTGAGTTATACCTACGTGCGAGGCTCTACCCATAAGCAAAGCGGTGGCAAGCGTGTGTAGGCAACGCTGGCAGGGCAAGGGAGGCGCGTGCTGCTAAATGAACTCGTTTGTCGGATTTACTGGGTCAGCGACTCTCACTGACCTCCCCCTCCACCTCCCTCTGCGCCGTACAAGCCCTGGCACTAGTCCCTGCCGGGCCACTGCTGCTCTGGCTCCAGCTCCGGCTGCTTTGGAGGTGGATTTGTTCCCTTTTCAGAGCCATCTTTTAGGATGGCACTTGCTTTACTCAAATCCTCCTTCTCCCCAATTTCTCCCTGACGTTTCAAAAATAATTACCAGTGGTTCAGTAAGTTCATTAGCAAACTCCCTTAAGACCCTGGGCTATGTATCATCCAGCCTTGCTGATTTGTGGATAGGCTCTAATCAAGTGTTTCAAGTCTCTCACTCCCTCCTCCTCCTTTCAGATTAACAGTTATTTTGACAAGATTCTCATTATTTCCTATTTCCTGGTGGTATCCTGGGACTAGGCTTGTTCAAGTCCTTACTGCTGTTATTGTAGGTTTATTTTTAATCTAAGACTTCACAAGGACATCAGAGTTTTGCGTTCTTCCAAACCACGTCTTTTTTTCCGCATGCCATTTTAGTCCCCCTTCATTGGGGGTCACCCAGGGCTGTCTTTTACATTTGTCACTTTCTGTTGTTGTTCTTCCCACTGCTCCAAAATTAGCTTGAAGAAATAAATTTGCTTCTACCAAGCTAATGGGGTAATACACCATTCTCTGACTTCTTAGATCTAGGCCATTGTCTTTTCTGCAATTAATTTTGCTAGCTTCCCCTCGCCCTTTCTGTCCTGCTGTCCTCTCATGTACACATACTATCAAACTCTTTTCCTTCCAGATGCAACCATCCACACTGCCTGTTCTTGACAACAGACTTGCCTCACAAACACCAGCAAAAACAGCATAAGCCCCATCCAGCTCAACAACTTCCTTAAATTTTACAGGCAGTTTCCCATAGAAGCTCTTTACGTCCCCGTTCTGCCCAAGATCATTTTCTCGGGAATGCCAGTCCCTGTGTCTCCGGCCAAATGGGAATTCCCCTTCTCTCCTGTTGCCCAGCAAATTCCAGCTCCTTGGAAAATGCAAAGCAGAGGTGCTCGCGGCTTCAGTTCACCACTCCATGGCGGGAAGGCAGGAGTGGGAGGGAATGAGACGCTCCTTAACACTCTTTTTCCTGCCTAGCTGTCTGCTGCCTCTGTCATGCTTTTACCCTTTCCAAAAACATACATACATCCGCAGTACCAGCCCTATTTACTTCATGGTCTGTCTTCATTAGCCTAAAGCATATGTTTTGCTCTTCACATGATTGCTGGAGAGGCTCATGGGTTAGGAGGAAGGAGAGAGGAGGAAGAGATCAGGCTGAATGCCCATGCTCTCAAATACATTTCACATCTACACACCTTCCCCAATACCAGCAGTTTAAGAACCACTGAATTAGCCCAACCTCATTATCCTTGATTTGCGAGAGATTTCAGAATTCAAATATTCTCATTTTTAAGAAAGCAGTAGGGTTTTTATGTTCTTTATGCAGTAGCCGATACCTCCACTGTCGATCCCTCAGTTCCGTATCCGCAGCCGTCCATCAGTTCTGCAGACACCATGTTTGTTTTCCACTTGACAACGCTCCTTCTGCCCCTCACTTCCTAGCTTAGTTGGGGAAATGTAGGAGGAAAAATTGAAAATGGGAAAGCCTTGGCCATTTTGACCCCCCTCCCCCCAACTCGCAACAGCATTCATTGTTTGCTGGAGAAGTAAATTTAAGAGAGGGATTAATTTTACACTGCACAGGGAGGGAGGGACCCAGAAGAGGAGCTCTGATTGCTTTTTTTTTTTTTTTTAAATCTGTTTTTAAAAATATTCGTGGTGCCATGGGCATGTGTACTGGTACTTTTGCTGCAGATTCCACATGTGGGTTGGACAAACTACATCTTTTTCAGATTCATTTCTGTTGTTTAAATTCCAGGCAACATTTACCTACCTGGCAGGAACATGAAAAGGATTAATTTGGGGGAGAGAGAAAGGGAGAGGGAAGAGCAATGCCCACACAGCTTTCTAAAGATAAGAACAAAAAGCATTTTCACAGTTTACCCACTTATTATTAGAGATTTGTTCTTTTTAAGCATAAAGTAGAAAGCGCTTGATAAGACAACTAACTAAAACTTTCTTTTTAATATAGTGCTGTGGTCCTTGATGGAAAAATTTATGCCACTGGTGGGATTGTTAGCAGCGAAGGACCTGCGCTGGGAAACATGGAAGCCTACGACCCTAAGACAAATACTTGGACACTTCTCCCAAACATGCCATGTCCCGTTTTTCGACATGGCTGCGTAGTAATCAAGAAGTACATTCAGAGCGGCTGATGTTACCAAGAAGTTGGGTGGAGAACTGCTTGTACCTGTCGTGAGCAGGCGAAAAGAATACTACTACTAAACAAACAACAGCAGCAAAGAGACAACCAGTGAACCTATTGCTCTAAACTCTTGAATAGTGTCTACATTGAATGTAGAAAAATCATCCTCACCTTTTGGTGAACAAGGAGCAAAGAGCTCCGTGCTATGTATGATAGTGTAACTTAATAATACAAGTGTGTCACTAGATGTTATAGTGGCACTTGTTCTGGACGTCGGCTTTTGGTCAACCCAGGTGCAATAGAATTTCACATATTTTTTAAGCTGGGGAAGAGAGGAAGAAAAATCTGCATTTTACTTCTAGAGCTCAAGCTTGATTCTTAAAATAACCATGCAGATTAGTTTTACTGCTACACTTTAGGCATCAAGGCTACTTGAGAGGTCAAAGTGTCCTTACCACTTTGATTCCTACATTTGTTTTTAACAAATACATGCTTTTCAATACCAATGACTGAGATGTGTGACAGATGGCTTACGTTGATGTCAGTCTTCCATCGGATCAAATGGATATTTCAGCTCTCTAGAGCAGAGCCCAAAGGGGGGTGAGGTGGGGGCTAGGGAGAGGAATAGCCATTGGGAAAACAGTTTCATGTAATACGATGAAAAAAGGTCTGTTGGTTGTATGAATTCCTGCTCCCGGTGGTACTGGTGTGTGCATGCACAGGCACGCGCACATTTGCTGGCAGTGGGGGTTCTTACGTTTTACTCCCGTTTTCTGCTGATGAGCAAACTTGACAGTGTTTGAATCCCGTAATGCAAAGTGAAATTGGTTTCGACTCCAGAGGCCTTCTCTGATTAAACTGCATTTTAGTTCTTCTGATTGGACTCGCATTAAAAAAAATACGTTGTAACGTGGGATTTCCAAGTTTTCAACAAGTTGAGAAGAGGCCTCCCGTTGCGGCTACGCACTCACTTTTGGCTCTCAACCAAAATTCCTTTTGTTGGGATATATGCCACTATCTTTTCCTCTTATGTAAGTTTGAGGGGTTTTTTTTCTTTTTTTTCTCCCTCCCCCCCCCCCCCCTTTTTTTTTTTTTTTTAATTTCCCTATAGGTATGGGGATCTTACCTTATACTTCTCTTATTTACAGATTTTTAAACACACAAGTTTAAATCCCATAACAGAAAAATGCATAGATTAAGCCCAGTATAAGAGACTTAAAATGATTACTATGTAGAGTTGTAAGTATATGCACAGCACAGGGGTTATATTTTTATATATATTAAAAATATTGTCTATCCAGAGAAGCATTGTGATGTGGAAATTCTTTATAAATTTATACATCAAAAGATCAAATGGGAGATGGTCTGGGTAATATAGAGGGGGCAGGGAAAAGATTCTTAAAATCGAAGAGAAAATAACCCCAAGCTAAGGATCATCTGATTTCTTTCCAAGTAGAAGGAAAAAAGTTACCAACCATACTTGCCTTTGCAGACTCAAATTCCAAATGCCATGATGGTATTCAAGAGGGAGGTCTTTTGCAAGGTGTGGGTGAGATCTTACAGTCAATATCTAGTTGAATTTCATACCAAATATGTTAACCTTTTTATATTGAGGGAGGTCTGCCTACAGCTTTGGGGAAATCAATGCAGATGGTTAGCTAATCATCTTATTTTATTAAAAATCATTTATAAAATAAAAGAAAAAAATGAAATTTGTATCTTGCAGTATTTAAAACAATGTGCTCAAGTCAGCTGAGTCAAGCTATAGGTTGACTCAAGTCTCTCATTTTGACAGTGAGGTTCCAGCCTTTGTTACGCAGTTGTTTTATTTATTCTTTAAAGAAAAAAAAAATAAGCACAACAAAATTATATACTAGTATGTCATTTAAAGTATTTATGTCAAACAGGGTGCAAGTGTGAACCTAAAGATTGGAGCACAAGTTTCTAACTGCCTGGGGCAGGACTAATTTTAGTGTTGGTGTGTGTCTACCTCCAAAGGAGGTGCTACCTGTCAACAAGACCTAAACACATTCAACATTTCCAATTTAGCTTACTTCTTCATTTCTCACACTGGAACAAAACTGGCTATTTCTGTGAATAATATTAAAAACAGGGTTATCTGTAATGGTATTGTATATAGTTTATGTTTACTGTTAAGTTCTTGTTATATTATAATAAATATATTTATAGATCTAGATCCAGCATCCGGATTGGATTACTTTTGTCACGAGTGAACGAACAAGAGACAATGCCACATCACTTTAGTTTTCATCCTGGCCAAGGAGGAAAATGTTTTCATTCCAATTAGTTTTTCCTGCCAATCCAAAAATGTATTGCCAATATTTAAATGCTTAGTAGCTTCCAAAAACCCTGCACGTTCTCATTTCAGAAAATTTCTTGGAAGTGATTTTGGATTCTGCTTATCAGGACTTTCTTCTTCATTTCTCCATTTTCCCAAACTTACTACTAAGTAAAGAGCCAAAGGGCTAACATTCATAAAACTATCTTGAAGTTTTATCTTAAAACCTTGCTCAACAGCGCTTGGGGAGGAGGGGGTTGTTTTTAATGAAAGTTAGGATTTGTACTGCACCTCTGCTGTGATGTCTAAAAGATGAAAGTCACTTTTGTCCTCTGGTCAAAATTCCTTCATATCTCAGAGTGGGAGCTCCGTAATTCAGAGGACACTTCTTTCAGAGAGCCCTTAAGTACAGCAGTTCACAGTTTCTTTGATGTTTCATTAGGACGTCATCTGGCAGCTGTAACACTGGATGTGGAACAAAGAGGAGCCAAATATAACTCGTCTCAAATACCACTGCAGTGGAACATTTCATCAGTATCTTCGGAGCCAATATCTGTTATATGCATTAACAGAAATAATCTGACATATTGAAATTGTCTCAGCTTCTTGCAGAGTGCAAGTATTTAAGAGGCTGACTGCATTTTTTAAACATTTTAGTTTAAGCTGAGTGGCTTAGACTGAACAGCCTGCGAAGATTACTGAATGCCTTGCAATTCAGTATTATACAGCTATGCTGCAATAATCCTGACCAAGGGCGGGGAGCTGTCAGCCTTTTCATCAACAGCATGCAAAGGATCTCTTAGTCAGCACTAGTCAGAAATACTTGGTAGGATGAGCAAGACACAGGCTATTTGCTTTACTTGTATGTGAAAATTATTTTAGCTCCCCTCTGGGAAGCTGGCTGAGAGCTTTTGCCAAATGAATCATGTGCACATACCTGCTCAGATTTTTCTTCTTAAAAGCTTTTAAGAATTTCAAGGGATAGCCTGGCTCAACAGACTGATAACTCTTGCATTCGCTAGCATGACTTTAGCCTCGCTCACTCGGCCAGGAGAGTGATCTTTAAAAGGGGGCTGTTCACTGCTTTCAGGAAATCCCCTACCCCGGCCAATTTACATGACAGTCACCTGCCCTTTCTCACCTTGCTTCATCTGTCGGCACACAGACTGTCCCAAAAACACTTCAGCAACTCAGTCTTTTAATTAATTGCATCTAGGTGCTAAGGCTGAGTTTAGCACCATGCAATCGGAGCAACCTAACTGCAGCGTTCATTAAACGCTGTTCATGTAGCGAACACTAGCAGGAGCACGCACTCTCAGCAATTGGAAGGATTAGCTAGGAGAGGAGCTGGAGCCTGCAGCTTCTGCCTGCTTTCGCGGGTACCGGTACGTCTAATCAGTAATGGCAGCAAATGCTCTAACTACTTCAAGTACTTACCCACCCTGACCCTAGTGAAGAATTTCCCCCAAAATTGGAACTGATCCCAAAGCTTTATTCAGCTTTCTCTAATGCAAGGAAAAAGTTCTCATGGAACCACATCGCTTCCCCACCAAAATCTGAAAAAGGTGATTTAATACTCTAGTAACAAATAGGACAAACCTATTTGTCCTAAGACTCTAGGACAAACTTACAAACAGCATATGCAGTCACGCGCCAGCAGATTGCAGCCTGTGCCAAATCCCTAAAAAGACACCGACTCTGTATTCCCTTCAACATTTTTACAACTTTTCCGGCTATTACAGGCTTCTTAAATTGGATGAGACCCTTAAGCTAACCTTAATGCCTTCCTCCCCTTTCAAAAGTTTGCTCAAAAACATGAGCCAAAACACGCTTTCAGCTGGTACAGAGATGCCAGCATGCGTGGAAAAGCGGTAGTAAGTCTTGATCATCGGTGAGTGTTTTGGGTTGATAAACTTCAGACTGCAGGAAAAGCCAGAAAGAAAATGGTCTTGAGGGAAGCAGATGGATGTGTCTCAGGCACAGCGTTTCCATCACTCGTTACATTAAGCTGGACAGCGATACCAGAGCAGAAACACCATTTCTCCTCTGAAAAGTCAATCTGCTTGAGGCATGATTAAACACTCGCTGAGGTCAGAATTCAAGCAAGCAAGAGCTGCCATCCTGGCCAGAAGAAACATTCAACTAGATTTCTTTGCTGAGCTGTGCTGAACAACGGAAAGTCAGTCTCTCTGCCAGTATGAAAAGCAGACCAACACAGCCACCAACTCCTTGAGATACGAAACAAATGGAAAGTGGTAGGCTACCTTGGAAAATGACTGTCCCTTTGCACTGAGCTAGTCACGGCTGTTTTTCTTTTGATAACACGCTACTTTTAGTAATGCCTGCCTAGTGGATTTCTTAAAGAGTAACAAATTCCAGTTTTCTGTAGCTAAGCAAATTCTATTTCAGTCAGTACCAGCTTTACACACAGAATTAAATGTTTTGGCTTAGTTAGTACCTAGGAGAAGGAAGCTCCAGTGTAGTCATCAAGTCAAATCAAGCTCTGAATTTTTTATTAGTGGCAGTCTATAAAATAAGGGTTTGAAAGGCTGCCTGCTGTTTTTAATTTCATCAGCTGTTACTTTTGACCAGCCTTCTCTTTTCCTTCAGAGTTCACATCCCAGATCTCCTACAGCAAGTTTCACACTGGCAGTGGTATCAGGCTCTTTCACAACCTGTCCAGAGAACAGCGCTGGTAACTCAGCTTTTTTAATAGCTTGACAGACAACTTCAGCACCTAGCTTGCAAGCAATGAAATTAATACAGAACTAGCAATCACGACAACTGCAGCTAAGCTGTAGTCTGCTTAATGTCATGCCTAGGACCACAGGCAATACAACACAGTGGCCTTTTCTCATGTTTTTGTGGCTAAAGAGAAGATAGAAAGTTACCAGTGACACTCCTACAAAAGCTTCAGGTCGTCCTTTCTTCCGACCCCATAAAAAAAAATAAAGGTTTATAAAAATAGCAGCTCTTACAGGTAGAAAGGAATCAATTCCTTTACATGGCTGCGGAACTTCGTCAAACACAGCAGTTCTTAATTTGTAATACAATTTCCTTGGGCTGGTGTACAAAGCCGGAGTAAAGAGCAGTGAACTGACTTTGGAGGTGATGCACTGAATACTTGGAGTCTTAAGAGCAGAACATTGTGCTCTACTAGAAACACTGCCCTCTGCGCAGGTAAAAATAATCAGCCCTGGCAAAGCAAGCCAAGTTTTTAAAGCCCACTGGAATTTCTGCAGCCACTAAGTTTCCATTTAAAAAGATTGGCTTTTAATAAGTTACTTACCTTCATGTCCACTGAATGCAGCGTTCCATTACTTCTTGACACCGAGTTCAATTCTACCCACTTCAGTTTATCCCCAGCCTTTCTGCAAGCTGCCCGTTTACGTATTAGAATATGTAAGTGCCACATGCGGCCTTTCAAGGGAAAACAAAGAGTGGAAACGTGGCAGGGACTAACTGTTTGGGAATGGCTCACGTTTCTGTTTTCTGTTTGGAAAGAAGTATCCTGTGGGGATTAAGACATCATTTCCAGACTGTTCACTGCCTGAAGAGGGTATTAGACTTCCTCTAATGGATAAGGTTTTTTAAATTCAGGAGTTAACTTACACTCAACAGTCTCAAGACAGCCTAGAACGCTCTGCCCTGCCGACGTTCATTTTTAATAACACTTGGCATACCTGGTTATCGGCACTTTGGAAGGAGTGCCGATCATGTGACAATTATCAAAAGGGCAAGTGAGATGACTAGGTAATTACCGGGCATTCACCTGACATCAATCCCAAGCAAAAATAGAAAGACGGTATCTAACTAAACTGATCACGAATCAAAAAGATAAGAATAAACACCACGATATTTTAGAAAATAGGCTGTATCGCATAAATCCGATTTCATTCTCTGACAAGATTACACATTTGATTGATAAGGTAATAGATTTTCAACAGCATGTGACAAAATACTTCAACTTTCTCACTGTACAGCATTCACAGAGCAAATATTAAACAGGCTAAGAATAGGCAGATTAATTGAGGAATCTCTAACCTATTCAAGTAATTCTCAGTTTGGTGTTATCAGAGTATTTCTAGAGGGGGCTTTGTGGGGATCCTCTCCTTCCAACAGCCTGAAAGGAAAACGTTGTCCTAAATCACTACTCCTAAACCAGTGGAAGACAAAGATTAGTAGAGCAGAATAACTAGAACAACTCATACATATTGTATTGGCTCCTTTGGCTAGCTGGGACCAATTAGAACAAAACTTCTTTTAATAAAACTAAATGGACCCTCAGAGTTGGGAAGGAGGAATGCTGACGTTCAGGATGGAGAACTGCATCACAAAAAACTGCAAGTCTGAGAAGTCAAGCAGCAAGAGCTCCCTGCCCAATTTCACAGCATAAAAGGGCTAAACTGATCTTCGGATGAGTAAAAAGGAGAAGAGCGAGTAAGAATCAGAGATTTTAGTTCTATATATGGCGCTGGTCGGACCAATGCTGGAACATCACATCAATTTCCACTGTGAGCAAATGTTTTAAAAGACGTTGAAAAATTGACCTACGGCAGAAAAGAGCCACAAAATTGACTTAACGGCTGGAGAAAACACAGCGAAAGCCATAAAGAGCTCATTTTGCTCAACAAAAAGACGACTGAGAGGCTACTTGATCACAGTGTTTTAGTATCTTGCAGGGAGGGGGCAACCTGTGTATGAAGAGCCTCTTTAATCTAGAGCAGAAAGACAAAACAAGAAGCAGTGGCTGGAAGTAGAAGCCTGACCAAAAAATGAAAAATAAAAATAAAAAAAGAGGAATAAGGCACGTTTCTACCAGTGAGCTTAACCACTTGATCAAAAGCTCAAAGAATAGGGTAGATGTGCTATCTCTTCAGACCGAGACTACCTGCCTT